GGTAAATTCCGAATAGGTAGGCCTAAATATAATAACAGTTAAAGCAAAGTTGGAGAGGTTTAATTACAATTTATTTTTTACATTTTAAATTGACATGTTTGCTTTAATATTACGGTTTAAACTTCCGCGAGGGCCACGTACATTTCCTAATCATGTACTTTTCACTGCTTACGCTTCTTCGAAACTGACCAAAGTATACATTTCATTATCTAAATCATCGTATAACATCATAGTAGCCACTAGTTATCTCTCCCGTGAACTTATTTTACGCACCGACCATGTGTATTGTACGCAGTCTAGGAAACCACTCACGGCAGCTGCATTTTGGGACCTGGACAAAAGCCCTGCGGCACATCTATTAGGGGATGCGGAAAACTATCCCCCGGAAAACTACCCCCCCAGGTGAAACGTGACGACACAAAATCTGCTAACTAACCAATATGGAAGCCGTGTCCGCGACTGGAATACTACCCCCCCTAGACAAATCATGCCATGTAATTTTAATTTTAATTCGAGTAATTCCGTTGGATAATAGAAAATGCGTATGGTGAATATAAAACAGATTTTTGAAATGTTACAGCAAGTTTGGTTGGTTAGGTTAGGTTAGATTAGAACTGTTTGACAACTAAATTTGAGTGTCCGTGACTGGAAAACTACCCCCCCAGTCTCTGACGTCAATATGACGTAGGAACCTGCTTGGGGGGGTAGTTTTCCGGGGGGCAGTCTTCCGGCGACCCTAAATTACGCGTCTAGGAAACCACAGCCTTACGACTACGATCAGAAGGTGCAGTGTTTCCCATTTCGTTCGATGTTTGGATTTAACTTAACCTAAAAAAAATGTTTGAAGGACTAACTATTTATATGATTTGTAGGGAAAATATAATGTGTAACACGAGTGCAAACTACCTCTGCCGCACTCGATAAACTTTCAACACTCGCCCACGGAACACGCGTAAACATTTCTCTCGTGTGCAACAATGCGCCACTTCGCCCACTAGTTACACAAATAGGAATAATAATAAGCCTATAAAATGATCTATCATCATGCGAAATTTCAAACCCAATTCGAGTCATTTCTTGATTGAGTCCTAAACAAATAACGAACACACACACTTACAGCGTTATAATATCAGTACGGTATATAATGATGTTTCGATTGCCAATGTACTAATGCTGCCCAGGTTCTTTAATAAAGTCCTATAACAAGTACAGTTGGATTTTTTTAGCTAGAAGCAGTTAAGGTGTGGTGGAATATCTTTGAAGATGAACCTATTTGGCAGTAGTGTGATCATGTGTTCAGACCACTGAGCTAAAATTATAACTGGAGGTAGCACTGCCATGGCAGAAGTCTGTCAAGAGCGTGTCGCTGATTTTGTTAGGTTGGTATAGCAGTGAGTTTTTTTAACCAATGACATGGCTTCTATAACTAGGTCTGTATAGCAGTGAGTTTTTTCATCCAATAACATGGCTTCTTTATAACTCACACCTCACGCAAACATGGCGGCTGGCGACACGCATCTTTGACATTCAGTGCTACCTCCAGTTATAATTTTAGCTCAGTGGTTCAGACCATTCTGTGTTCGCTGGTTCAGACCTGTCAAATTTTGAGGTTAAATAAAAACAAACAAACCGACACAATAATTCTTGGAATTGACAATAGTTAAATATACTTTAAACTTACTCTAGCCTACTTTTATATAACTACTTGGCAATATACAGTATAGAATATTAAGGCCTACTGTGAAATAGAGACGTGATTCCTAATTCCAAATCAGCTAATGAATAAGTTGATACTTAATTATTTCCGCCAAATTATAGGTGATGGTTGCTTTGATAATAGTTAATTATATGAGTTAGTATTAAAATATTGAATCTTCTTGCATAAGTTTATTAATTTCGATCATTATATTAATAGAATAATATGGTTGCTGTGACTGGGATACACATAAAATAACCGTTGGGACATACAGTAATTATGATTTACGTCTAGTTTTGAAATATCTTAACATCTAAACATAGACTCGCCTTTTGGGTTTCATGCTAGAGATCAGAATTAAATACTCTTAGAGATGACGAGATGAACCTTTATAGACTCACGTTTTGACCCATTTAAATTATAATTAACAGCTAATTGTATTGCTGATAATTCATTAATGCAATCACTAATCAAATAAGTTCACCTCATACAAACAGGATAACATTATACAATAGGCCAAGGAAGCAAGCATAAATTAAACAATGAAATATACTAAATCATTTCATTTGATCTTAAATGGCAATTCTTTCGTAAGTAATACAAAACGGCCTCTAAATGCTTAATTATTAATTGCCAAAATGCCAGTTTGTTTGTTTTGATTTAACCTCAAAATTTGACACACCATATAAACACATTATCGTACTACAGCTAAATAGGTTCATCTTCAAAGATATTCCACCACACCTTAACTGCTTCTAGCTAAAAAATCCAACTGTAGGTAAGAATATTTTTGTATATATACGCTTCATAGGCTACACATATATTTTTAAAATTATATAACAAAAAAAGATCTATAATTTTAGCATTAGTATTAACTTTCAAACGCCAATCAATAGATACTTTCTTGGAAGCTCTGTTTTCTGTTTAGAAACTACTTTGCATCTACTTGTAGTGCATACAACACACGGCCACGCTCTCGTGTTGTTCTCCTCTCGCCACAGCTCACATTCACCCTCTCTCTCCTTCTTCCACCCCTCTTTACTCGACCACCCCTTTCTCCCAGCGAAATACCCGGTATAGTACTGTTGGGGAGAATAGGCTTATGTCAGGTAGTCTTCTCCACTCGCCTCGACACTCTAATGACCCCTTAATTTACGAGTTCGATAAGCCGGGTCGCCAGCGCTCCTACACTCGAGTTTAATGGAAGATCTCCACCAACACCACATAACAAGCTAGGTTTCCGTTGTGTGTATTCTTATTTGTCAAACTAATCTAAATAGACTCAAGCTGTTTCTCGGTAATCAAGAATATTGTTTTAGTTTGATGTCGAAAACAATTATCGTTTCAAAACTCTTATATTAGAGTGTTTTATTTGATAAAGTCTGTTGAAATACGCGTAAGCGTAGGAACAGTATTCATTTATTAAGCTCTATACTATTAATTAATCATTCTAACTATAGGCTACTTATTATATTCAGAATGGTTAACAAAGTTTCCACAGACAACACAAGGGAGTATGAGTTATCTATGGTTAAAATGTTATTAATGGGGTTATATTGCAGACATGCTCCACCACAATTAGTACAAAACGACGTTTTCAAGACGTTTGGGGGATCTGGAATGATTCCTTCCTCAGGCGAAAGAATAGCTAAAACATAAGATTATATTATAAGTACACAAACATAGCCAATACTGATAAATCACAATGAAAAAAATACCCCGCCGCAGCAAACCTGCAGAATAAGCAGGTCCGTTGGCGAGGTTGGATTTTCACAAAAAATATTCGCTTAGAATTGCCAGATTTATTTCCTATTCAAACAACATTAGTTTTAATGAGCACTTAGATTTGCTGCTACTGGGAACGTAATAGTGTTTTTAAGTGAAAGTGTGATATTTTTGTATGGAGTGATACATTTTTCAAATTTGATCAAAATATGTCCATAAATAAACAAACTTATATTAAACTTATTAAACTTATTAAGCAAACAGTTGTATTTTTCTCCGTAAGAATAGCATGGAAATTTACAATTTACAGAATTTTGGAATTTCTTCTTTAACCATTAAGCGCATTATAACGCGTGTAAGTACTGCACTGCATTATTTGATTTGTTTAAGCTCTACAAAATTATTTAGAATGTTTAGGGCGTTAAAATTGAGAAACCCCATTTTTTGTCCCAAAAAACCCCATACACCCTCATTCCCATAGTCCGATCATGCTGGTTTGCGAACTCGTTCGAATAAACGTACATTTTCACGTCGGTACAGAATTTCATCAAAATCAGAATATTTACATATTATAAATGAATTTGAACAGATGTTGTTTTTTGCCTCTTGGGCCCCAAAACGAAAAAAGTAACTCGGTCCTGGGTTTAGGTCTTACCATAACACCTACGATAATAGCTCATTCTCTATATAAGAAATTCTCTGAAAATTCACAATAATTTAACTAATGTAGTTATGCTACAGCTGTGTTCGCTATATTGTTTCGCTATTTGTCATCTGGCTGTCAAGTATGCTGATACCTAGCAGTAAGTCGACCTAATCTGTAGTTACAAGACAACAAGATCAGGGTTTGTATTGTTCCCTTGCAAAATAAGTAACAAATTCCAAAGGCATAGATCCCGCTCACCAAGCCATCAATAAAATCGTTTCATCCTGTATGAATATGATGAAAAATGCAGAGGTACTATCCCGAGTATTCTTCGTTATGGTGATATGGTTGGTCTTTTATCCGCAAAATCAAACAAATAGAACAAATAAAACATCACTTTCGTATACCGTTTTAATCCCGCACATAGTCGAAAACTCAAATTTTCTGAATAAAACCCGGAAGCACTCACGAGTATTAGAACAGTAATTGTAATGGATCATAAACATAAACGAATAACGTCACCCCGTCTAGATGTTTTGGACGTTTTTGACAGTTCCATTTAATATACAGGGTAATTCTAAATTATTGTTACACTTTTGCAATTCTATAAACGAAAAACTATACAATCTATCATCACGGGAGGAGAATCAATTCAAAGAGGAGATTCTAAAGTTTTGTTTGACACCACTTTGGTAAACATAATTACAAAATTAGCTACTACAGACATTTTTAGATTTAACTACGATTTTTAATTAATACACGATTTAAACTCGCGGCGTAAAAAGGAATTTACACAATAGAAGGCGATAAAAGATTTACAACATTATGGCTAACTATAAATTCTCTGTGTGTCCCTTCTGGCTTTACAGCACACATCTATTCAATGATTCAAGTCGCCCCAAATTCGCAGGAGCACTTTTCTCGATACAAGATTTATTTTTGCTGTGATACAAAGTCGACGGTCTCAGATGTGTGCTGTAAGGCCAGAAGGGACACACAGAGAATTTATAGAGTTGTAAGCTTGTCTCTAGACGTTCTTTAAAAAAAACCAAAAGGCGCAAGATTGGGCGATTTAGGTTGCCAAAATATGGAGTTTTGAGATCCAGAGAAGTAAAAGTGTGTAGTTAATTTTAAATCGTACTTAAAATTTAAAATGTCTATAGTTGCTAATTTTGCAACTATACTTATACAAGTGGTGTCAAACAAAACTTCAGAATCTCCTCTTTCAATAGATCTTTACCCAGTGATTGATTAAAAATTGTATATTTTTTCATTCATAGAGTTTCAAAAGTGTAACAATAATTTAGAATCACCCTGTATTAATATTAATAAAAGCATGTTTAATTTCGGGTCCGTGACAGAGTCTGTTTATGTTTATGACCCGCACTGGATGAATGTCCACTAGCACCACCTGCTTGATGTGGCTGGAAGCTTGTTCTAGAAGCTCCGAGGTGACCCGAGGTGTTTTATCTTGGCGCGCGTCATCTTCTCGAAAACCGCTCCGATGACGTGGACGAGATCAGCTGTGTTGCTCAACCAATCGCGCGTGGCTAGGCTACATGCTTACGTTGTAACAAAAATCGTAACCTTGCACCAAGGTCGAGCTAGTTACAGCTGGGGTATCAGTTTTAAAATTAACATTTTGAATCTGCGGTTGATAATTGTGTTTTCATATGCCAAACACGATAATACTTGATTGATAGTGTAGTTTGTTTGGAATACATGTGGTTTTTAGTTAATTTTTTAGATTTTTATAAACAATTTCGTCTCAAGTGTATCTATATCTATAAAAGAGGAAGTTTGTATGTATGTATGTATATATATATATATATTTGAACGTTATGGACTCCGAAACCGCTTCACAGATTGTAATGAAACTTTCAGGCATTATTAAGTATTATTCAAGGATGGTTTGTGTGAAGTTTGGTGCAGATCCGTTAAAAGGGCTCCGCCCCAGTGGGTCTGGAGTTTCCCATGTTAACCTTATGAGTACTCATATTTAAATGGAATTAAAGAATCTTAACAGCTGGTTCAACTAAACAATTTGATTCTGTGATGTTAAATAGCATTAAAAAGTTAATAGGTTTACCAACAGGGTGCAGCACTATTTTTTATTTATGACAGCAGCTAATTTGCAAACAAAAGGTGAGTGAGCGTAGCGAACGAACTTCAACCTG